ATCTGCATTTAATGATGTTTGGGTTAGGCATTAACTGGTGGAAAATACAAATATGAATTCGTTATCTCTATCATATGACTTAGCTTCCAGTTTTCGAAGAACGCTCCCTCGATTTTCATTGGTTGTGGGCCTAGAGGGTGCTGAAAAAATTCAGGTTGCTTAACCGCATTAGATGAAAACGGTCAATAATCTATTTTTCATGTATTTAACAGTTTAATACCATTTTTTAATGGTTATTTGACTATCTCGATTGAATATGGTAAAATAACAGTTAAATAAATAGTTATTTAAGCATTTTTTCCCGATAAACAGTTTAAAAATGGAATGTTTTAATCTTCCCTTAATAAAAAAAAAAGATATAGTTTCATTAAACTTCATGGTGCTATTTTGAAGAAAAAAAACATGAAGTGATAAATAAACGTTTTTGTGTTGGTTCAGAAAAAGTTTTAACTTTTTAGAAAATGAAAAAATTCCATAATGAAAAATTATTTTCGCTTTTTTGGTTTCGTATGTTTTTGAAATTAAAACAAAACCGCTTCTGGAACTTATTAAAATGCTTTGGACATCTGAAAACGAAACTAAAAGGTATTTTGTTACGTTTGTGAAACGATTTGTTTTCTATGAATAGAACCTATGTTGTAATAGCCAAAATTAATAAATGAAATTCAGTAAAAAATTTTAGCTCTGGCTGGTAAAAGCTGATTTCTAGTTGCTACTATATTTTTAAAAAATTAAATAATAATTTTTGGCAATTTTTGGCGCTTTAAGAACTATTAATTTCTCAATTGAACCAGAACCATTGAGAATGTACTCTAGAAAATTGAGTTCACATAAACCTGGACAGCCACCTACATGTAGTTGTATTCCATCAATAATCAAAAAGGTTTGGATTACCAACAAAGCAATAATAATGTTTAGTTTATTACATTTTCAAAGAAGAATCTGCAATATTGCAATATGGCTCATTACACATTAATAAAATTAAAAAATGCAGGGAAAAGCAATATTAATTGATATTATGGAAAATATTAAATTAAAAGAAGCAGCAACTAAATACCTTTATATAAGTTTAATTAAAATTTTACATTTTTTTAGATTTTTATTCCGGAAGAACTTAGTATATGTTCCCTCCTGAAATAAGCTTTTTATTTCTCGATATACAGTTGGCCAATAAAACGGCTTCATTTTTCAAGTTCCGATTCAACATTGCTAGACCGAGATAGATTTCAAATGTTTTGTTTGCTTTATGACGATTATTTTACGGAATAAAACTTTCCAAAAAGGAATTCTTTTTTTTTATATCCGAAACGCTGAAAAATAAACTGGTATTGATGATTGTGGTCATAAAAATCCATTTATAAACCTGACAGGTGTTTTAGTTTTTTCCAAGAGCATTTTGACAAACAAGAAAATCCACCGAATTCTAAACAAATAACTATCCAATCTTTTAGTAATTTGAAGAGTAATGTTCATTTTAATTAATTTTATAAGTAGCGTGGAACAATTATCCCATTTTCGGATCAATAACTAATCAACTTCATAGCATTAGAATTTTGAACTCAACCAAGAAGATAAGGAAACTTCTGGGTCAAGCACTGGAGAAATTTTGGTGGAACTGACCAATATTTGCTTTACATGGAGTAGAAAACCACTAAAATTATCCACCGTGATCACGAAAACCCATATTTTATGACAGCTCTATGTTCGCTGCTAGCTAGGATCACCATCGTTAGGATTTGAACCTGTGTCAACTGATTAGGAAGTGCGCTATCTGTCCCTGAGCCATCGTATAAAAAGTGATATTTATTCTCGATATCTTGTACTTTCGATAAAACTGTAGAAGGCAAAAAGTATGATACATTATTTAATCGATTACTTTTTTTTAATAAATAGTCAAAACTTTTTTCTAATGGTTTGAATATTTAGCTGAAAGCTTTTAAAGATATCCAACTTCTCAAAAAGAATGTATTTTGAATATTATTTTAAATTAAATTGGATTTTGATCATACTTTAAATTTAGTATTGAATTAAAGTATTTTGTTTTTTAAACGGAAAAAAGCAGCCTGTCTACTTTTGATAATGATTATAATTTTACTACTTTAATTTTGAATATTTCACGAAACATAATTTCAAAGCACAACATCGCCTTTGTTTACATCGGTCTTAGAGATGGGTGATGATTCGTGATCAAATCCTCAATTTGAAACTGAATCATATTGCTTTCAAAGTGATTCAAATCACCTAATAAATAGTTCGAATCACCGTTTCAAAATTGATTGATCACATCGAAATTTATTTGAATCACCTAATTCTACTTTTATAAGATTTAGCCATTTTTCTTATGTTTTGAATCAGTTGATTCATTAATTCAAGTCTCAATATTTTATTGAAACATATTCAAATTGTAATAATTTCCACCTGTTTCAGTTCAGTTTTATTATTCTTTTTAACTCAATGCTATGCAACTTAAAATTAAAAACTTCTGAAAACAATGCTGCTTTTTTTTAAATCTCAATTTCTTAGCAGCGTTTGGAACAAATTTTATAAAATTCTCGCGTGATAAAACATCATAAAAAAAACTTTTCCTACTTGTTTCAGTTTATTGTTTCTATTTATTTACTTATTTTTGTAAATAAATATTTTCCGTTCAACCGTTCTCAATTAAATCCACATCCGAAAGCAAAATCATATCACCAGTATTTTTGTATTTATTCAAGTACAATCAAACACAATAATTTATCACTAATAAAAAGTATTTAATCATAGAAACTAATCAGATAATTTAATGCATATTGATTAGAATCAGTGATTTAATTGCCTAAGAAAATTGAATTGATTTTTTAGACTTGAAACACTTTAATGATTTGTTTTGCTCAGATCTAGCATGTTTACTTTCAGAATATGTAAAGTATTATACTCAAGTAAGCTGGAATAGTTAAATTCATATATGAAAAACTGACGGTCCTATTAATATTTTAGCCATAATTTTCCGCCAACTAAATCTTAACCAGAATTTATTTTGATTTGCACTAATATGAATAAACAATATACGTAATCGAGCGTGAGAGATCAGGAATAAGTGATGTATTATGTGTATGTAATTAGGATTAAATGATACAAGTAAATAAAAATTTTAAAGATAGTCTATACGTACAGTTCAAAAGATTGCTAATGAACAAACAATGCCAGACTGGGTAAAATTATCCCACTGTATAATGACGTTTCTGGTAAAAAATATCATGATGCTGGTTAATCAAATAAAAATATACGATATTTAAACCATTTAGTAACTTTTCTTTTCATATGTTAACGGCTTGCCGGAAATTCTGAATTTCAAAATTATAGTTTTTATTTAGCGCATTCAGTAAAAAATGCAACAATAAATAAATTCAAGGTATCCAACTATTTTCGACAATTTTCTTTTAAATATTAATATAAAAATTTAAAAAACTAGTTTATTTGTTTTAATATGTGTAAAAATTTATAAAACTATCAAAAAAATTATTCATTTTTTATTTATTATTAAACAGAATTTCATTTAAAAATTATTTAAAGCAACATGAGATATCGTGTTTAAGCTGGTGCAAAAAGTTAAAAAATCTGTTTTTGCGCCAAACGCATTTAAAGACTTAAAATCATTAGTCTATCCAGTGTTATCATCTTGCACAAAAACGGCTATAACTTTGTAAATCATTGTAATGCAAACAAAACTAAAATATTTTTAGAAAACTAAGAATACATGAATTCTAAATTTATAAAAAACTCCTTTTCGAAAATTTTGCTCAAATTCATGTTTTGCACAATACTTTAAATGGTTCAATGGTTTTCATGCTATGCTCTAAGCAGGGTATCATAATAAAATGGTCAAATTTACCAAATTTTAATGCATATAATGAAGCGTAAGTTTACTGCTAATTTGACCGATATCATTATAAAAGATCTTCGGAAAAATTTACCGATCTTTTTGGTGTTCCGTAAGAACCAGAAACACGATGAATTTTATCATATTCTGGTATTTTTTATCATACTTTTTTATTCAGTGCAAAGAAAAATAATTGTCCCACCTCTATTATAAAATACATTTACTTGTTGAAAAAATATTGCCAGCACGAAACGAGATTAACCCATTAGTTAATGTGTACCATTAATGGTGCTTAAAAACCCTTGAGCAAATACCTTCCTAACCTAAAATTCACAAATACCGAAGGTATTTGTGAATTTTTGGCCTGATTTTTAAACAAATCAACGTTTGAAAAACCACTAATATTTCCCTCAAATTTATAAGCCTAATTAAACTAAACTCAGTGGCGCGACAGCCCATAGAGGACCAAGGCCTACTGTGCCCATCTCAGTTTTCTTGACCTTGGGCTCTGGGTTGTAGGAGCAGATGTTCTGGTTGGGTGATCAGCCGAACGCTGAACTCCCAGTATTTAGTCCACAAGCATGCTTGGTACTAATTTTATCGACCCCTGAAGAGATGAAACCTTGCCTGGCCCGAGGATTGAACCCAGGACGGAGAGCAAGAAGTGCTTTTACTGAACCACCGGGCGTTAATAGTCTAATTAATAAGCGAAAAATTTCAGGATTTGTGAATAGTCGGAGGTGATTCGGAAACAAATGTTCTAAATCATAAATTAATATTTTTAATTCAAAAAAGTTTTTGAATATTTTATCTTATGTGGAAATATATTCTTATAAGAAATTATTTTTATATTTTTTCAACAATTTCCAAGAAATGTGCGCACATCTTATTTAAAATAGCAATGTAAATTAGACTCAACAATGTTTTTACTTTTTTTTTTATTTATCATTATTAAATGTTTGTTATACGTCCTACAATGCAACAATGATATCATATCTCAAAATTTTTCTTTCATGACGAACCTACATTTCAAACTTAATTTTATAAATAGTTAATATAGCTGTAATTTATTTGTAAAAAACTAATCAAGTTAAAATTTTTTAGTTTTTTCAGAATAATCTTTGGTATTTACTTTCAGAAATGAACAGAGCCAAGATTTTAATAAAAGATCCTAATACCGAGGATCACCTTATCTCAGTTACCAGGAATGAGGATCCCAAGACATTTTCGGAATTCGTTGATCAGGTAATAGTTTACAGCAGTGTTTCCCAAAGTGTGGTACGCGTACCCCCAGGGGTACGGGAACAGTTTAGCCAGGGTACGCGTCCTTATGCAAAATATCTTGCAATAAACGAAAATTTCAAACAAACTTATTTAAAAACAAAGCTAGCCATGAAAATTTACGATTACGTATTTTTCTATTTGCTATTTCTTTGCGGAGTTAGCAGTTAATAATTAGTGGTGTCAACAGCCAGTTGTGATTTTTAACTTTTGTGCAATTTTTTTTATACTAAAAAATACACTCATTTCTTTATTAGTGGTACACAGCGTTACGAAAAATTTAGAAAGGGTACACAAAAGTCANCAGGAATGAGGATCCCAAGACATTTTCGGAATTCGTTGATCAGGTAATAGTTTACAGGATTCTGTTACTTTCATCGTAGTTCGATTCTGACTATGAAACGATTCCTTTATATGGCACAATGAGTTTGTATACATATTTTTTGTAAATTATTCAACTTAAAACTTGATAAGCTTTACTATTGTTAAACACAAGCATTCACCTCTGTATTCATTTGTTATGTTACAAATATGATAAGATCAATTAATTACGCATATTGTAAGATTAATTAAATTTGCATATGGTTCAGACATGGTGAGATTAGATAAATTTAACATAACTTACTGTTCTAGTATGTGTTTTTTTGTTCGAGAAGTGTTGCTATATATCTAAAATCAAACAGACGTTCAACCGAAAATGTAAAAGCGAATTTAAACATAAAATTAATTGAAGTAAAAACAGAAAATTAGGAAACGATTTCAATAAGGCCACAACGATTCCATAACTTACTGTTCTAGTATGTGTTTTTTGTTCGAGAAGTGTTGCGATATATCTGATATCAAACAGAAGTTAAAACGAAAATTTAAAAGCGAATTTAAACATAAAATTAATTGAAGTAAAAACAGAAAATTAGAAAACGATTCCAATGAAGCCCCAACGAATCCATAACTTACTGTTCTAGTACGTGTTTTTTTTTCGAGAAGTGTTGCGATATGTCTGATATCAAACAGAAGTTAAACCGAAAATTTAAAAAAAAATATATAAACATGAAATTAATTGAAGTAGAAACAGAAAATTATAAAACGATTCCAATAAGGCCACAACGATTCCGTAACTTACTGTTCTAGTATGTGTTTTTTGTTCCAGAAGTGTTGCGATATATCTGATATCAAACAGAAGTTAAACCGAAAATTTAAAAGCGAATTTAAACATAAAATTAATTGAAGTAAAAACAGAAAATTAGAAAACGATTCCAATAATGCATTATTTTTAAAATCGGTAGGAAGAATGTTTTTTTGTTCTCTCCATTATTCCTTTCATTGTTCTTTTCTGTAAGTGTGTTACAAATTATTTGAGCAATAGTAGTTTACCTGTACAATCATATGTTCTACTGTAAAAAGAAGGGGAAGAATGCTTTTAAATTTTTAACTCTTAAGTTTTGTTGTGCGAGAAAAATTACGATAGATTTTATAAGAAGCATATGTTTAATTGTTTATTGATTCCTTTATTGGTATTGAAAAATTAGAAAAACATTCCAATCATGCACTAATTTAGAATCATATGTTCAAAAAGTATAATTGTTTTATTTTTTTCGTCCATATTATTGTTTTAAACAAAATAAAATGAACTACAGCACTTTATGGGTAACAAATTATTTTACAATCAATAAAAGCACTTTTATGAAATCATGTTTGGTAGGAATTATTGTATAAATTGAGCTTTTAAATTGTTGATGTTTGAATAAATAAAATGAACTTTTCAAAGTTAATATCAGATATTATTGCAGAGATTTTAAATATCGTCCATTGTGTTCTATTAAAGTTAAAAATAATCTAGTTACCGTCGTCGAAGTTTTGAAACTGCACTTAAAAGCTTCATTTCTCTTCCTAAAATATGTTTAAATTTATAGGTAATATCAAATGCACCAGTAAACCTCCAGAAGAAAAAAGGATCTACGATCTACACACGTGAATCTGATCCTATATCAGTGCTGCATAATCATGGTCTTCTAAACATAGACAAAACCTCAAATACAAAGAAATGTTCAGGATCTGAAATCGATGTAACGTTTTACACAGAAGAAACTCGCCTAGGTGACCTTGTTAAACTTTTTTCCTCAACACATAAGTTTCGAAACGGGAAGTTGGTTTATGCGACAACGCAGGAAGTTGCACCTCAAGTGGCAGAGGAAGTTGAAAAGTTCAACAACCGGTGGCAACTAGAATGTTCCCCTGAAATGATAAAAGGTAATATTCCTGTGAGTGCCATGCTCAACATTTTCTGCATTTTTTACGTCAATCTTAGTTTATAACACCGTTTGATTTCGTTACCTCTAGTACCCTAAGCTATTCGAGTTGACGCAGCATGGTCATTTTAAACACAATTCAATGCAACTAAAAACTTTATAACTGCAACTGAATGGGTAATTGGAAATACACAATGTAACAAAACTGGTTCGATGCAGGAGGGGTGGATATATATATATATATTTTGNTATATATATATATATAAACTAGCCTAATATATAAAATCTAATGATCAGATTTTCATGTTCTAGGACTTAATCTTAATGGTTCAAAAGGGTGATATCTGATATGCTAATTAATTTGTGCAGACGATATTTTAAATTACGAAATTATACACAAAAACGTACTTTCTCTGAATAAACACAACTTTTTTTTCGACGGATTTGGATTTTTTATTGCCAAAATATAAGGGTAGCCGCGCAATCTAGGTAATATGGTCAAAATAATTTAGTCAGGTGAGCAGAAGTTGCATAAGACGATGCATTATTTGATGAATATACCTTTAGGATAATTGAAATTTTGCTTGATAGAAATTGGTCGAACAGTTTCTGAACAACAAAACTTGAAAAACACTCTTCTTTTTAAATTATCAAAACGAAACAACTATTCTACAGATTCTGTTTAAATGTTAGATTTTGTTACTAAATATTACCCATTTTATAATATCAAAAATGTATTGATGTTCCTAAATATTCAAAACTGTTTCGTTCATTTTTAAACCAATAGATATAGATAAATTTTGCGAGGAAGTTTCATTGGAAAAACGAATTTTGTAATTGTATGCAAACATCTTTTGATTTCAGTTTATGACATACGGGGAAATATTTAAAAATTAAATTTACCGTTTAGGGGCATATGCTTCTGATAATAGAATGCAATGGACCTCAACGCCATTTTGGGGATAAATCCGAATCTGTGGATTTAAATTAGGGGAATATAATTTTGAAGTTTTACCACTTAAACAATTTAAATTGAATATAAAAACCAATCATTACATCAAAAGTGTTGTATATGTCCTTAAACAATTGAATATGAATCTATGGAATTCGAGTGTTTAAATCAAACGCTGTTCAGATAGTTACGTTTCTTTTTTTAAAACCTCATCATTGAGCGATTTTTATGCGATTTACATGCGATATTTATTTTTCAGATAAAGAAGAAGTAGAAGTAAAGCGTCCGTCCTATACTTCACATGTTTCAAAGAAAAAATCACTTATGGACATGCTGTCAGATTTGGACAGAGAACAAACACTTAAACGTTACGGAAAGACTTTAAGTAAGCAATTTTAAGTCTTGATAAAATTTTACTAACTTATTGAAGATTAATATGTTTCTTAAATCTTTTTCATTTTCTAGAGAAGGATAAGATATTGCTACATCGAGAGCCGCTGATCAAACCAGGATGTTACTGTGAAAAGAAAGAAACTACGTACGATAATGATTTGAGAAACCAACGAATAGAAAAATATTTTGAAGAGTCGCGTGATTTCAAAAGTGATCGCTATGTAAAAGAGGAGGCTAGCATTAAAGACCATTGGCAGCATGAAGTACAAGATGTTCCAGAGCAAAAACCAGTCGGTAAGAAAATATATCACGCTGCTTGGCGACAAAGATCTCCACAAAAATCGCCTTCCAAAACAGTTCGGTTCACAATGGAGCAATCATTAAAGGATACCACAAATTTAAAAGTCTTACAATCACCGAGAGAGCATAAGTCCATAAGAACTGACCAACTTCAAGCCAGTAGAAAGTATTCGCGGTCGACAATTAAAGAACTATGCCTGCAGGATGAATCATCTGAATCGTCTGATTACCCGCGTATATATCAACGGCATGCTGTGGCTTGTGAAAACGAATGGCCTGAGAGACTGAAAGGGCAGAAGTGCCGCTATCCCTACAATGTACGTGATAAAGAACTAAATCGGCAATCAAAATTTCATCACTCCCATTTAGAGACAAATGAAGAAGGTGCTAGGTATACTGAAACTCTCGAATCTCATGCTGAAAGTCGCAAGCCTCGCCATGAAACTCATAAACCACATTCAGATAGAACTAAAAGAGAGTCACCAGTCCCTCGTGTATTTAGCCATTGTTGTGCCGAAGGTAAGGTATTGTTTATTCAAATGATGATAATGTATATTCTGTGTAATATAATGTAGCCCAAAATATATCAGCTCCATAGAAATAAAGCTGAACAACATAAATAAAGCACAAAAGCAGACAGTTTCGGTTCCACGAAACACAGTCTGTGTTTTGGTGTTGAGGAAGGTTTTTGCTTATAGAACCGAAATTATAGTAAATCTGTTTTTGGGCCATAATTTGTGCTTACTTTTTAGTTTAACCTTTTTTTCCACTGTTTGTTATTTAGATTAAGAAAGGGTCAACTTTGTACAGTGCGTGAATAAATTGAACAGCGAAATGATGAATTTATGAAAAAAAATTTTGGTGACATTATCTGTGCTTTTTTCACATTGTTTTAGCTTTTTTCATTGCTTCTCATATTATTTACTCTCTTATTACATTACTTCATAACAATCTTACTTTTCTAGTTATGATTCGTCAGATTAGTAGGAATTTTTTCCCCTAACTTATCATGATTTGTTTTCCGGCTTTTTCTGTTGTGACTTCCAGTATGTATGTTTTTTTTTAATCTAATTTTAGGATTTTAAACAAATAAATTGAGGTTGGTGATTATCGACTACAAATACATATTTATCAGTGTATCAGTGACTTGTATCTTAATTGATGATCGCAAGTTAACCAAATCTTAATTATAAACAAAATTATTTTAAGTCCAACGTTTTTAAAAAGAGACTACGATATCTTAGCTTGACTTTTGACTACCCTTCGTTCAAATCGTTAATAACTGGCACACCATACTGTTCCTTTCTGCTAGCTAAATAAACCCATTCAAGAAAAATTATAATCTTTAGCAAGTGGCACACCATACTGTTCTTTTCTGCTAGCTAAATGAACCCATTCAAGAAAAATTCAAATCTTTACCATCTGGCACACCTTACTGTTCGTTTCTGTTAGCTAGATCAACCCATTCTGGAATGATTTTACTTTGAAAAAGAGTGACACACTGAGCATTATATTTTCACCTTGAGAAAGCATTATATTTTTCAGCATTATATTTTCGCCTTGAGAAAGCATTATATTTTCACCTTGAGAAAGCATAATATTTTTCAGCATTATATTTTCACCTTGAGAAAGCATTATATTTTTCAGCATTATATTTTCACCTTGAGAAAGCATTATATCTTTCACCATTATATTTTCACCTTGAGAAAGCATTATATCTTTCAGCATTATATTTTCACCTTGAGAAAGTATTATATTTTTCAGCATTATATTTTCGCCTTGAGAAAGCATTATGTTTTTCAGCATTATATTTTCACCTCAAGAAAGCATTATATTTTTCAGCATTTTATTTTCAACTTGAGTAATACTTCAGTATTATATTTCACCTTTTTTAGGGGGAAAATATTATATCTATATTGTATCTTCACCTCATAATTTTATGTTGTATCATTTTAAGTAGCATTATAAGTTTAATGAAGATGAACTGCTTACTTTGCGGTGTTTCACACTACAAAGTAAACAGTACATCGTCACTTTTGCTAATTGCAAAAGGAAATTTTACAAGAAAATTTCAAATATTTAGCGATATATATAGATTATAGAAATAGCGGATGATCATAGAAAAATATGCGTTAGGTAAGTTATTAGATATATTTAAAAAATGAGAGTACACTAACAGGTCTTTTACCTATCATTAAAATAAACGTCGATTTAGTGATGAAACAGGTATTACATAAGTGATGAGTAGTATCATATTTATGCCACGCAACCCATATTTAGTATATACTTCTTTAAGTGGTTAACATGCTCTAAATATTCATTTTTTTAAATCACTATATATAGATACATTTTTAAGAATAGATTGAGAGTTTAACAAGTTTCTATTCTGTGTAAAAGGAACTACTATCAGTACATAAATTACAGATAGATTTTTCTCAGAAACGATCAAAAAAAAAATAGGTGAACCTCTGTCAATAAATGAAACAAAACATTTCGTCGTAGCAAATTGTTAAATTTTCTACCAAATAATTACCACAAGTCTCTATTTTTAGTCATACAGATATGCAAATTAAATCGTAATATTAATTAAGCTACCTCTGTTTCAGGTGACATTTTTCTTGGCGACAATGAAGTATATTCAAGTGATTCAAATACTAGTATCTGCACCATATATTATGACTGTGAGAGTGAATACACCAAGAGGACTTCGCCTACTTTTAGAATAAATTCCGATTTTGAAAATCAAACGCACTGTTATCACGAGAAAAGAAAATCAGGTGATTAAGTTTTTTTCGTTTTAAAAATTACTTGAATAGTAGTCCAATCGTACTTATTAGAACATTGAGTTATACTCACTTTCGCATTCGTAAAGTCATTTCAATCCTACAATATAAAATTAATTCAAACTCAGTCCGAAAATTATATTAGTAAGTCAGAAAGTATCATTTAAAGATAAATTATAGGAAACTTAGTCATTGCTTTGGTTGTTTCCATAGAGAAATATATTTAATTTTATTATTTTATTACCGTCGTTGAACAGCCGACCCAATTTTGTGTTTACGACTACTAATGTTCAACTCAGTAGCTTTGTAATTTTGAACCCAATCCAGAAAACAAAGGAACTTCTGGATCAGTACCCCCAGAGGTATTGATTTGGTATGGGAACTTGGAGGACTTTGTGACCCCGAAAGATTTAACATGCATCAGTCATCATTTAATATGCGGGGATTCTTCGTCCAGCTGGATTCAAACGCCCGTTCTCACAAACACGAGTCCAACGCCTTACCAAACAGGCTCTTTGAAGAAGCTGCGCGTTAATGAAGACAAAAGTAAATTATGATTTATTTTAAATATTTCCATTTCTTACTATTTTTCTTGTTCTCAAGTTTATTGCAATGCTGAATAAATTACATATTAATATGGATGACATGCATTAATCTCTTTAAATTCAAAGAAAAAGAAAACTAGGAAAAGTTTTATTATTTTAAATTTTTTCTTTTCTTTCCTTGAGTGAATAAACAGGTGATAAACAGGTTTTTTTTTTTGATGAAATAAACAGGAGTAAATAAAAAGGTTAAGAACGCTTTTACGAATAGTAAAACTAAAATTTAAGATAAAATATTTGGAATTGAGAAGAAAATCTTATGTTCATACATAAATGCTCAATATGAAAAAAAAAATACTCACACAAATTCACGCAGTCTGATTTTTATTCATTATCTTCTATTGAAATTATATGAAAAACTCAACTTTAGAACCATAAACCTCAATGTGGTATTATTAATTCACACAACAAATACAATCGTAAAGAAGTAAAAAAAAAAAAATTATACAGACACTAAATTATAAACCATTGCAAACCCTTCAAATCTATACTGTCAACTAATCATTTCCTTTTTATATTAAAAGAGGGCACAGGGGACCACTATGGTGAGAAATTTTTTTAATAAAGTCACGTAATGCCTTAAGTATTATCGTTTATAATTGTTTTTTAATCTATTTTAAGATTGATAAATTATAGTTTTCGTTGAAGAAAAACAATTTCTCTCTTAAAAAATCTAATTATTGCATTCTATATATGTGAGTGAGTTAGCTATTAAGCATTATATCTTAAGTTATTCTTTTTAGGTGAAAGAAAGAAAATCACAGAGCGACAGGAATCTTTGCCAAATGTTGGTCTTTTTCATAATTTTAACAAATCTAAAAGCAAAAAATCTCAAAGAAAAAACCTAAACTGCTCAGAAATCGACGAAGTCTTGAGGCATTGCCATCATACTAAGAAATGCAGGGACAAAAAGTACCATCCAAAATCACAGCCAAAACACAATGAATATCCAGCCAAAGTAGATATGGAATGCTTTGCAGAATGCCACCAACGCAACAAAGAACGTCATCGAGTTGCTGTTACTCGTGGATCTATTCAAAATGTAAATTCGTACATGTCTCCAGAAGACGAATTACAATCTATGTTCATCATGAAGAACATGGTGAATAACGATGCTTTACGAGAATTCCAAAGGAGATACGGAAAATGCCTTTGCTTCAGGGATGATATAAAGCCAATACCATCATATCCTAGGGAACATTTCATAAAGCAAATAGAGAAATCTTATAGTCATAAGCATATGTAAAGCCGGATATTGTCAAAACAAGAAATTGGGCTAAATATCTTATAACAATAATCGCTAATTACAATTAAAATTTTTAAATAATTAGGAGCATTTAAAGTTATTTATAAATTAATCTGTAGTGATTTAAAATAAACTGCTTAATCCATTTCATTTCAAATTTCAATATATACTATATTGAGAATTAAATATGTACTTTTCTATGATTAATATGTCTGGCAAAGATGGTGTCAAAAAAGTTTAAAAATTTATTTATTGCCAGTTGAAAAAATATTATTTAGCTTAAAAAAGCTTATGAATAATACATTGTTTATGAATTATACATTAGAGAAAATACAAGGTCGATAGTTCTATCAAAGAATTTGGGTGTCTATTTTTTGGTTCTATCCCTAGTTTAAATCTCAGTACTCAGTAACTTATAACGATTTTTATTTATTTATTTAACACTGTATTTATATTATTCACGATTTAAATATCGAAGCGATAGTTCACTTAAACTAAGAATATCTTCAATACATTTAAGGAACTGTTTGCAAGTTGAACTTGCAAACAGTTCTCTCTAATCTGCAACAAAAAACCTGGGTTCGTAAAATAAGGCCTCAGACTCAGGCCTTTTTTTTAACATTAATTATACATGATAATACTGAGTAATTGGAGAGAAAAAGTGTAAAATACAGAATTCCAAGTCGCGGCAGCACCAAGCTGATAATGTCAAAAGTGGAAGAATATATTAAGACATTTTTTTTAAGGTGAAATAAAACAAAATAAGTTATTACCTCTTAAGAGAACTGAAAGGGTAATCGGGTAACTTCAACAGGAAATAACATACTTAATATTACCTTGAGAATACCAAAACAGGCGATGGCAGCTGCCATGCATATCAGAGCTTCAACTTTAATTTGGTTTTAGTGCTTTGTTAGTAAAACAGGAGATGGCGGTGTAACGTATACATGCGGTTTCAAGCTATACAAATAACAGTTTTGTTTCTTATTTAAAAAAACTTTTATTCACTAGCAACACAAACAGTAACAAATATAAAGTACCCGTAACGGGATAGTTGGGTAGACTATATTTGAGGGTGCCCCTTGATTCTCGCCAAGTTGTGCTCGTGGTTGATCGCCGGAGCGATGCTGGGCGATGTTGAAACCCAATCATGATTCTGTTTAGTTTAGATTTTAGCGTTATTTTTAAATGTTCAACGGTACATGTAATTTCAGAGGTCCGTTAGTTCTACGTTGGATACCACCTGGTAAGGTTTCTTTTGCTTCTGCTCAATAAGATCGAAGGTATGTGGGCAGTCATAAAAAAAGGACTTTAGAAAAAAAATGTCACTGCCAGTTCGGTACCACAGACGCCATTTTCGATTCGTATTTCGCCGAATTTATGTGGCGATGGAGGTACACAGATTCTATTCATGATAAATTTAGTCAGTATCTAACTGCTATTGGAGAATTCTGTGCACTTAAATCTGAGGATATTCAAGCTTAATGAAGAAGTGAGTTGTTTTTTTGTTGTTGTTTTTTTTCCATTTCTTTCTGTGCTTACTCCAATAATTTTTACTTCGATTCAAAATGCATTTTATTGGGCTTATTAATTTTGCTTATATTGGGTTCATTGCAATTTTATAAATTTTTGACCGATGTTTTGTTGAAATTTTCCAATGTTTTATTGAAATATCATTATGTTTTGGCCGCCATTCCTGTTACCACGGTGTTCCGTGCAAACAGGAATGGCGCCAAACATAAGTCGCCGGTTACACCAAAAGGCACCCTCAAGTATATTTTTACCGAATAGTTAGAATCTTGTAAAACAAACTAGAAAAACCCGTAACGGGTTATAGGAAAACTCTAAATCCAAAACAAAACTAATCCCTAAAAAAAAAAAAAAAAAAAAAAAAAAAAAAAAAAAAATNACAAAACTAATCCCTAAAAAAAAAATCTCTGTTGTTCTACAAATGTCTCATTTGGGCTTAATTATTGCTTGCTTTTATTTTTGAAGTTATACTTCTTATGCGACTTCCAACAAGGTTGCGTTAAACGTTTAACGCTACATTTTTATTGGCCGGGAAATCACGTGGTAGGATCCAGTTTTCCCTCATTCATTTCCATATTGTTTTGGTTCTCACTAGCATAAGAATAATAAAAGTCATAAAAGTATTGTTTTTCTATAAATATTTTTTTAGTTTGTTTTGATGCGCATATAATTTAATAGGGCAGTATTTTTTATTTTCAAATTTAGTGGATAACAATTGTAAAAAATGAGTGAAAATAATCCCACGGACAATGCGACAGATTTAAGGTTATGTCAAGGTACTTCTCTTGTGAATATCAATTGATTGTTAGGTTTTCGCTTCTGAAATTACATTATGACGCATTCACATACATTATTAATACAAATACATTTTCCAGGGCGAGACGATGAGGCAACCACAAGCACTTCCACTGGTTCAAGAGGTCGATGAGGGAAAAATGCACAATATTACCGTGATTACAGAGCACGGAAGCGAGCGGAGCGGGGGAAAGAGTCTTTGAATAGAACTAGTGATCCTTCTACGACTGCTGATTCTTCTACAATTAACGTCGCAGGTTGCGAAGTTTAACTTCTTCCGCGCGGAGGGGCTCCGCGCACTATTTTTTTATTTTATTTATCTCTTTATGTGTTTAGTTTATTTTATTCATGCTTTAGCCAGCTCGTTATTTTTTTTTAATATTTTTACTTTTATTCATGCTTTTGCTAGCCAATTATTTTTTAATATTTTTAGACTTTATAACGGTTTGGAGAGAAAAAGTACAGAACACACAATTCCTAATCCTGACAGCACCAAGCTTTTAACGCCAAAACTGGAAGAATATATTAAGAAAAAAATATATTTGAAAAATTTTAGGTGAAATAAAGCAAAATAAGTTATTACCTCATGAGGGAACCGAATAGATTACCACAATAATGTAAATCCAAAATACTTTAACAGGAAATAACATACAAAATACAGTCAAACCCAGTTATAGTGAACATGATTTATAGTGAACTGCAGGATAAAATGAACAAATTGTTCGCTCCCGTGCCTTGCTAAATATATATAATATTATTTTTTGTGGATATAGTGAATCAAAAGATGAGAGGAAATTGGATATTATGAACCTTTTCTGTCTTCGACTGATATTTTTTTCTTCATTTTTTGATAACTTTGAAGTTTCTACATAAAATACATAGACCGATTTTTAAATCCATCTATTGAGAGGAATGTAGCCATAGGCATTTTTCTTGATTGCTTTCTCTACCTCATGAGAATACTTGTACTAGTTTCTACACTTGTACTAGCTTCTGTTAATACAAATATATTTCAAGTTTTATTGAATACAATAGGATGTTATATTAGGATATGATTCAAACTATAGCATTGAAATTATACTAAATTCATAATTTCAATCATAATTATAAAATGTATATTTATTAATTCTATTCAGTATTAACTGTCAACCTCAGATTTTATAGTATGATCATGTATTCAAGGATTTTAAATAACTATATATCTCGATAAAAAGAAAAATATTAATCAGTCTTCTTAAATAGTAAAAATTTAATTATTTATCTTTGTTTTTATAATTTAAGTAAAAAAAAACAACTATATGCATTCTTCAGTCTAAAATACGAAGTCGAATTTTGATCTTGCTTAAAAATAATTGAAACCAATAATTAGTTTGATATATGCTAACAATCCAATTGCAAATAATCTTCAAAAAATTAAACTTTTTTTTTATTTGACAAAGTCTCACTGTTTAAAGTGTAAAAGAAAATAAAAATCGATTTTTAGCATAAATTGAAATCAATGGAATATTAAAGTATCTCACGATTAAATTTGCTTAGTGAAGGAAAAAAAACTTTTTTTTCTTCCTATCGGAATATGATTTTAATTTGACACACAATGAAAAAAAGAACATTAACATCGTACAATAAAAAGTGTTATCAAGGATTAATAATAGTTCGAATAAATTATTGCTCTAGAAATTTTTATATTCGTGGAATCAAGTCCCTTAGTACAAAAATAAATAAATAAATAACAAATTTGATAATAGAAGACACAAAAAATCAATATAAAAATTCTTTATTACAACTATTCAATAAGTCAACCAATTACATCCATGAAATGTACTGCTTCTTTTTTAAAAAAATATTTTTGAAGCAAATCAAATAAATCGATCGATGTATGCTAACATTCAAAGTGCAAATAATAAAGGAATGAAATGTTTTTATTTTTATTTATTTATTCGGCAAAGGTTTTGAGTTGAAGTGTAAAGAAAAACAATCATCGGCTTTTAGAAAAAATTAAAGAGAAAGGTAATATTAAAATGTGTCACTATTGAAATTCGCTTAATGAAAAAAAAAAAGTGTTTTCGTTTCCAAGCAAAAAGGATTGTAGTTTAATATACAATAGAAAAACAGAACATTAACACTAACAACGCTTCAATGAAAAGTATTATTAAAGATTAATAATAACATTCTTGTTCAAGTAAATTATTACTCTCAAACTTTTCATGTTCATGGAATCAATCTAAGTACAAAAATAAAAAGAAAATACTAAAACAAATTTAATTCTGGAAAACACTAAAAATTTGGCACAAAAAATGCTCTACTATTATTCAATCAAGTATTCATTTCAACAAATTACACCGATTTCATTCCGTATGATAGATAAATTGAAGCCTGGTTTCCGTGTCTGAAACGAAATTCTAAAAAGTAAATAGTAAAACGATTACGATGAATGATGAAAACGATTCTACCAACAAATTCAATTTTCCAATCGTCTGCGAGAATATATTGATAATGAAAATATGTAATTTTTTCCATTTTTCTGTAGCACGCATAACAAAATTACTTTTTTTTTCCTCGGACATCAAACACCACAACCCAGCTTCTGTTATTAACAAAATCAGTGACACGCAAAGGCAGTAATAATTCTAATTCGAAGCCCCGACAACTTCGATAATGAACTTCTTGTGGAAGTTGTTACGGAAGTCGTAATCAGTTTTCATTTTGGTGACATGATTTTTTTCATACTGCCGCTGGCTTCTAATCTGAGACTGATGTTAC